TTCTCTATCTAATAGTAAAATTTCCAGATCACCAATATTGCTATCATTATCATTGTTATCGCTACAACCAGTAGATATTGTCGTAGCCTCCAATATATTGTAAATAATAGAGTTTTGGGTATGCCATAAATCCAATCCTCAAGATAGTCTATAGCTATTTGTTTTTGCTCAATACTCAATAAAACTTAATATCGAGTGTCTAAATATATTGAAGCATATACAACACTATTTTGTAAATATTGTTGCTCTCTAATTTTCATATTTTCTAATATTTCATATGAAAAAGAACTTGTTTTCTAACTCTAATCGACATCTTATTCATATGCCATAAAAATCCGATAAACATAACTGTTCTGCTTGCAATCTTAATGTAGTTATTTTTAAAGGAACCAACACACTAGTAAGGTCTTTTATTTGATTCCAATCATCTTCCGACAAAATGACTTCACATGCTCCTATAATAAATTAATTACAAAAATCTTTCAAACTTATTAATCGCTCTAGCATCATACAAATAGAGGACCAATATGTTGTGCAATCTAATATTACCATTTGACTTTTCATAGATTTATATATTCTTGCAATTGTGGAAGTTCTTAAATATTTTACAACATCTCTTTTAGTATAAAATAAAAGGTATTTTGTTAGAGTACTATAATGCAACTAAAGGGGATTCTGAGTGCAAAACCTGCCACATAATGATAAAAGGTTCACACAATACTAACCTGGAAAGACATTTAAAAAGACATCATTCTATAATCTTTGAGGAATATTTAAATAGAAAAACCAAATTTTTGGAAGAAGACATTGTTACAAAGTCTACTGTCAGTATTGTAAAGAAGGGTGAAAATAATATTGATAAATTTTGCTTTAAAAAAAGCATTCATATTCAAATGTCTGAGGAGAATTTGATGAATGTTTTAGTTGAGCTTTTACAATAAATGGTGGACCTTTCAATATTATTGATGATTCTGGTTTAAAAAAAATTATTGATCCTATTAGTTAGGCAATTGGAAAATCAATTAACCTTTTTAAAATTAAGGACTTAGTGGTTATTGAATCAAAAAAAAATACAAGCAAAAATAATAAAAGAAACAAAAAACAAATTAATTTCATTAAAAATTGATTCCGCCCAAAGATTAGGGAGAAATATTCTAGGAATAAATATACAGTAATATAAAAGGAAATAATATAATATTAAGAAATTAAGCTATGAAGGAGATTAAAGAGCGTTCAACTTCTGAAAATATAAAAAGGATGATATTAGAAACAAATATATTTCATATGCCTATAAGAAACGTTTATACAATTACTACGGATAATGTGCTAATCTAGTAAATTCAATCAAATTATTAAATGAATGTTCACTGGAAGAAATGGATGATATGATGATGATGTTGATAATTATGAGGACATAAGTTAAAATGATTTACAGGAAATCATAAAAGATTTCTCCACAAAAATATACTGTATCAGATAGGCAGCCCACACGCTACAATTGGTTATTAATGATTCCCTAAAAAATGATCACTATAAAACTATAATTGATAAAGCAAGGGATGTTGTAAAATATTTAAGAACTCCCCAATTGCAAGAATATTAAAATCTATGAAACGGCAAATGGCAATAGTAGATTGCACAACACGTTGGTCCTTTATTTGTATGATGCTATAGCGATTAATAAGTTTGAAAGATTTCTTTAATGATTTTATTATAGAAGCATGTGAAGTCATTTTGTCAGAAGATGATTGGAATCAAATAAAAGACCTTATTAGTCTGTTGGTTCCTTTAAAAATAACTACATTAAGATTGCAAGCAGAACAGTTATGTTTATCGGATTTTTATGGCATATGGATAAGATGTCGATTAGAGTTAGAAAGATTTACAAGTTCTTTTTCATATGAAATATTAGAAAATATGAAAATTAGAGAGCAACAATATTTACAAAATAGTGATGCTTCAATATATTTAGACCCTCGATATCAAGTTTTCTTGAGTATTGAGCAAAAATAAATGGCTATAGATAGACCATCTTGAGGATTTATGGCATACCCAAAACTCTATTATTTACAATATATTGGAGGCTACGACAATATCTACTGGTTGTAGCGATAACAATGATAATGATAGCAATATTGATGATCTGCAAATTTTACTATTAGATAGAGAAAAAAAAATCAAATTTTCATCAGATAGAAAGGAGCAAAAAATGTCTATTGTATCTTTAATAGAATAGTTCTCAGAAGTTAAGAGAATAAATAGGGATACAATATTTTAAAATTCTGGGAGGAAAATTCTTCAATATATCCAGAATTATATACCTTGTCTAGAATCGTCATGGCTGTACCGGCGACATAAGTACAATAATTTATATATTATAAAAACGACTATCTGTTTTAGGTAAGCGTAGAACGTCGATTTTCATCGTTGAAATATATATTGTCTAATTTACGTGGAAATCTCAAGGATGATATTTTAGAAGATATCATGATTGTGCGATTGAATAAAATATTTAAAATATAAATTATTACATTTTGAATTATGAATGTGTATATATTGAAGTATAATAAAAAATGAATGAAAAAAAAGTCTTATTTTGAGTCATTATTTTTATGTTCCCTGAACCCGAAACCTGAACTCGGGTCCTTTTTAAATTTATTACTGGACCCTCGGACATGGACCCTTTTTTTGTCGAAGGGTTCACATCCCTGATGATATTATTTGCGACAAGAAAATGATTTTAAACATCTCCACAGTGCTGTTAAACGGATCCATTTAGCCAATTTTTAAAGATGTTTAATTCAAGATATTTTGACCAAAAGTAAATTGCCCAAGCTTATTGATTTTGCCCGCATATGGCAGAAAGGTTTGGACTTTTATTGGCTAAATTCTTGATTTAGCCCTAGAATAAGCGAAATCGAGGCATTTAGCAACATAACATTTAACTATAAACATTGCACACTTTTTAAATCTGATTATTAAATTTTGGAGAATAAAATACACTTAATCATTCGTGAATTAGTTGGATATTTTTTAAACAGAAAATTTATGACATGTTCAAGGTTAGATGCTAAATAAAAATCAATATAAATATCGGTTATCGGATCTGATTGGTGGAAAATTTGTGGACCGGCACAGCTTTATTTTATTTGATTATGTTAGTTATTTTTACTAAAATTGACGCTATTATTATATGCACAATAATGAAGCGAAAATCCCAATATTCGAATATTTTTTGTTTGAAAAATATACCTAGAATGACAGGTTTAAAAAAATAATTAAAACCGATATGATTTATGTTCCCCTATTCTTTAGTAAAATAAGCGTTAAATTTTTTAATTCTGAAAACTTAGAAAACAATTAAGAAATTAATTGTAAAAATTTTTATAATAATGAAATTTGTATATATTTATTAGTTAATTGGAAAAATAATAAAATTCGTTTAAAAAAAATCTAGATATTTTAAGATTTAAATGATCAATTTTTGTGAAATTTTAGCAGTTTTAACAATTTACATTTAGTCACCTTATTTTTCGCTGGACAGGAAGTCCTATATGAAGGGCGGTTTAATCTACAGCTGGACGTCAGGCTTCTTCTCTAGGCGTCATATAATTTGATTCTAAAGAATTAATATATATAGCATATTAGATACCTAATACTTTATTTTTACGTAAATCATTTTTGAACTCCTTAATCTCATTAGAAATTTATTGTTCTCACATGTTTTATTGTAATTAAAAGATAAAAGAATTTAAAGAGTGATATATTCTCCATTTAATATTTATATGTATAAATTATCTAGGTTTTTTTAAAACACAGACGATTTTTTTTATGCATGCATGCAATTTGTTTTTTTTTACCACGAAAAATAATTAAAGGAAAAACTAGTTTTAATTCTAGATCTTTTATAATCCGATTATTTAGCATGTTATGCTTTTCCAAACTCGTTAACCTAATTTCTAATCATATTAACCCTTGAATTTAGTGGTGTATACAGTGGCGTAGCAGATGAGTATTATAATGTTCTGTATCCATTTTTAAAAATTTTTTTTAGGACAGCATTTAAAAAACTAAATATGCAAAAAGAATCATTCTAAATTCTATTTTAACATTTTTATTGTTGATACTGAAGAATTGATTTATCGAAAAAATAATTATTTTGCAATAAATGTGGATATAGAACAATATAATATTTAGCCAACGATACAAAAACCCGTTGATTTTTTTGGCCTTATTCTATTTTTTATGCGAAATTGTTCTTTAAAGTTTAATGCGTATTTTTTTTATTGAATGATTTTGTAAGATATAGACACTTTTGGAGGCAATAATTATTTGAAAACAACTTTATATGCTAATTTTTACATTTAAATTAATTTAAGGTTTAACTGAATAAATGTCTTAAAATATCAAAACTAAATAACAAATTTGAGTGAAATAAACAGTCGTAAAATGGCGGGTGAGCTATGTCCCACCCAACCACGCGCCTTATACACTCGAACGTTAACCACTTATCGGGAGGAATTTAGAAATATAACATAATTTTAAATAAGATAATTTAACGTACCAACTAAGCAAAAAAATCGATAAAATTATTTTTAAAATCGCTCTAAAAAAGGAATTTTTTTTAGATACTATACTCAGTTAATATTTAGCTTATTATTTTTTTAAAATCAATATTCATCATTTTTTTAGGTGGGTTTAATTTGAACTTTTATTGAATTATTCTTTCCTTCCGTTTCTCTTTCCATTTCTCATTTTTTTTTCCTTTTATATAATTTTACCACTACATTAAAGTAAACCTGCCCAATTTGGGCACCCCTACACTAAGAAAAACCTAAAATCTCTGCTTAAGATACAAAAATGCCTTTATAGAATTCACTCAGGGTTACTTAATATATTTATATAAAGAGAGTGGGGGGGGGGTCTTAAATTAGATCTGAGTATACTCTAGATGGGATCTAGAATCAAATTACATTATTTTATTATATTATTTGCAACAGATAAATAAATCAATCAACATTCAACATACTTGAATAACCCTATCTCCAAATCGCATATTAATCAATAGAAAAAGCATTTTTTAATTAATAGCGATTGGTAAACCATATTATCCAATATTCGGCGTGTGATTTCATCTAAAAAAAATTTTTTATCGATTATCACCTACTTAAATATAAATTTATCGGTCTTTATTTCTTCTCAGTTTGTGGCTATTTAAAAATAAATAATATATTTTATCTATTTGTATCAAAACGATAAACTAATTAATTCGACAGATCACTGTAAATAGTGTAATTCGTAATATTCTACAAATACTCCGGACCAACCTACCACATTAATATTCTACAAATACCCCGGACCAAACTACCACATAAATATTCATAAATCGCTTATCCTATTTTACTTACCACTTAAGCGTTAGGCTTACCACAAAATCAAACAACGTCAATTTCATAATTTTATACATAAATATCTTGATTTTACCTGTTTTTTTTTACAAAAACTCCTATTTAAATTACTTACTTTCATTAATCAACAAAAATAAACGTCTGAATCTCATGAAAACCTTAACTTATCGAATACTATTCATGTCTCCTCATATATTCTTCTCGACACCGCTTTGAACACATTAGACACACATACACATACCTAGCACCATTTTTAACCATCCATTCCAAATGCCAGCTGTCATGAAACTCGGTGGTGGTAATAGCAGCATGGGCTCTTCTGGGGCTACTTCTGCACTGTCTTCAGCATCTGCTTCCGCATCATCTGCAGCGGCGGCCGTATTGGGTAGCGTGGTCGGGGGAGTAGCTGGCGCCGCGGGAGGAGTGCTATCGGGTGCAGGGGCTAACTCCGACGGTATGCGAGGCCTCGCTACCTTTATAGGTGACATTCGGAACTGCAAGTCGCGTGAAGCGGAAATCAAACGGGTCAATAAGGTTTCTCCTTTTTGTCTATTTCTTATTATGGTTAATACAATTTGGATTCTTCTAGCAGATTTGGTCTCTCAAAATTGCATAAATAAAATATATTAATAATAACTAGCTGATTTGTTGAACATTCCTATTTGGGCTTAGATTTAAAATTTAGATTTTTGAATACCTCTAATCCAATCAAGAATCTTCTTCCTTATAAGTTTTTCTTGAAAGTTTGTCATAGATGGTCATCTTTACCAGTTAATGTGTGGCTCGCCGAAATGCCATTTCAATTATATTTTAATACAAGGCTATACTTAATAAAGGACCGGAGGGATGATTTTTTTTTTATAAATGGAGGGAGTTGACTTTTTTTTAAAAAAGTTTTTGAATTTGATTGCCCATCATATTATATTTGTACTTTTTTAAACGCGTTTAAAAATTAAGGAACTAGCTCACGTGAGGGCTAAATTCGCCGGGGATCGAACTCTGGATGGCTATCAAAAGAAGAAATACGTTTGCAAGCTTCTATTCGCATTCTTGCTCGGTCACGACATCGATTTTGGACGTATGGAGGCCGTTAATTTGCTCAGTTCCAATAAGTAAAAAAACGATAAATTTTCTCGTGATTTTTGAGAAAAAAAATATTTTGTAAGCTCTAAGAGAAGTTGACGTTCAATAGAAAAAGTATTAGTTAATCACCTTTAACCTAACGTATATAAATTGAGTTTTTCTTTAAAAAATCATCTGCAGAAGAAAAGAAAGGCTATTAAAAATTCTATTTATAAGAACAGCTGGGCCGGAGTCGAAACCATATTTAACCATCTATAATATATTCCCCTTTTTATATATATAAATATAACAAAATAATTAACAAGGTACACAGAGAAGCAAATAGGCTACCTGTTCATATCTGTTCTGATAAGCCCCCACAACGAGCTCATGAAACTTGTCATCCAAGCACTGAAGAACGATCTCTCCAGCAAAAATCCCGTATTCGTATGCTTGGCTCTCAATTGCATCTCCAACCTTGGATCTTCGAAAGAGATGGCCGAAGCCTTCGGTCAGGATATCCCCAAAATATTGACCACCGGTAAAGATAACGATTCTTGAGGCTTCTATTTCTTTTCCCTACTGTCTTATCGCTTAAATTATAATCTCTGACAAAAAAAATGATCGCATTTTCTCCCTAAGACATAGCTACTAGTCTTCTAGTTATATATATACAGCGTTTAAGTTCTTTATTCTTTTTCTTTAGTGGCTTAAGAGTTGTTAAAAAGCCGACCCGAATCTAAGATTTAATAGCCAAAATAATGTCACCTAAGCCCATAGATTTCGCTATTGGGTGGCAGAAAGGGTTGGACCTCTATTTGTCAAATCTCTAGGCTTACATAATATTAGGTTGGCTAAAATCCTTATCGGGTCACAAGTAAAAACTACCCGAATCGGGCTTTTTATCAACCTCCCTAATTTACTTATTTACGAATATGATCCATCATATAATAATTATTTTCCCTTTTTATGGTCGTTTTAAAAAAAATTTTATTACAAAACTATAGTAGCACGTATTTTATTTCATTTATTCTTTTATGTTTTATTTATCTCACCTTCCAAAAAATAAACAAATCATTTACTTGCCTATTAGTCATATCAACTTTAGCAATTTTTTTCACCCTTATAACTATAACTTAATTTAAAAAAACTCTTAGAAGAATTTTTTGCATCTGAGGCAAAAGACCCAAATCGATCGCAAATGTTTAAAATGAGAAAATCAACATTAAAGTTTAAAATAAAATATAGGAAAAAGTTATTGATCAATTTTGACAATAAATTAATATTTTTTTAATCTAGTTTTTATTTTTATATATTTTGGGAATAAATAAGTTATTAACCACTTCTAACTCAAAAATTTTGAAAATGTCGATTGGAACACTCCAATTCTAGACCGAAACACCAATTAGTATTTTTTGAAATTTTACAAATAATAGGTTATAGCACTTTTTTTTTATTATTAAGGCCTTGTGTTGTACATCCTTCTTAAATTAAAAAAAAATATATTCATCATTTTAGCCAATTTTAATTTTTTTAAAAATGTATTTTTTTTATTTTAGGCGGTGTCCAGTCCAAAACATATGAAATTTTAATTTACAAACTTTAGAAACTTTAATAAAAAATAAATAAAAAGCAATCTTAAATATAAAAATAAAAACATGGCCAAAACATAATTCTGGAAAATTTTATATTATAAATTTCAAAAATTTAGCACCATACGATTTCATTAAAATTTGCGAATGTGGACACAGCCTTATAAATGATATAAAACAAAATTCTTCCATATTTTTCTTTCTATTTTTTTTTACTATAAGCACTTCACACTGCAAAACTAAACTATTTTAAATTCTCCTTTGCTCCTCTGATCAATCTAGTAACGAATGCGAATTTAAATAAGTAATATTAAGATTATAAATAAGAAAGACTACGATGGGAACGTTTATTCGAATCGAATTATATACAACTTAAAACTTGTTCTCTCATCTGTCAGGTTGCCGATATCTTTTGACATCTAATTTATTTTTCTAAAAAAGAGATCAGCTCATTCTGATTTAGAGACTCATAAACGTTTTTAATTTCAAACTTATTATGTACAGGGGACAGCAGCGACAGCGTGAAGCAGAGCGCCTCACTTTGCTTGCTCAAGCTTCTCCGCTCCGGACATCGCGAGCACCTCGTAAATATGCCTGAATGGGCTGGGCGGGTGGTCCACCTACTGAACGATCAGCATTTGGGAGTCGTTACCGCGGCATGTCCTCTCGTCAACGAATTGGTGGGGCTCGACCCGGGCGCCTACAAAAGTTACACCCACTTTTTTAAAAATTCTAATTTAAAGGGAGGGGGGAGATTATGTCCAATTCTCATTTAAAAATATGCTATAACATTATATTTTTACAGCCTGCCCCAACTTAGCTGTCTCAAGGCTCTCTCGCATAGTAACGGCTTCTTACACCGACTTACAGGACTACACTTATTACTTTGTACCGGCTCCTTGGCTCTGCGTTCAATTGCTCCGATTACTTCAGAATTGGACTGGGCCTGGCCTCGAACCTGCCACGAAAGTTAAGCTGCTTGAATGCTTGGATACCGTCTTACTCAAGGTTTTTTATTTAATGATCCTAATTATACACCCCCCCCCCCCTCCCCATTCCATCATACTTTTCCAAATTTAAATAAACTATTCACATATAAATTATACCCTAAAATATTTTAATCATTGCCCCCCCCCCCTTTTTTAGACATGATAGGTGTCTTTAATTTAAATTCTATTGGTGTTCCATGCTGATAAAAAAATATTTCCGTATCATGACATTTTATTGAATTTTTTACTAAATTTAATTTTCTTATTTTTTTAATACAAAAATGTTTATCACAGGCAACCGAACCTCCAAAATCCAAAAAGGTGCAGCATTCTAACGCGCGTAATGCTGTGCTATTCGAAGCTATAGATTTAGTGGCCCATCTTTATAGCTCAATTGAAACCTATGCCCAAGATGGAGATATAGGAGATGAAGGAGAGGTTAATTTTTTTTTAAAAAACAGACAATATAATATACAGTAAGGTTTTTAGATACATGTAACGTCCGTTTTCGAAAACATTGCTGGAATCTTCTAAGAGCCATATTTTTAACTTCCTCAAAAGACAGTTGTAAAATAATTTTTTTTTTTGATTTTTTGTAAAAACTGTAGAGGTAGCATTATGCTATGCCTGCCTAAAAGATGATATTAAAATCAATTTTGTGATGATTATATTATATATAATTTTTTTTCTCTTCTTCCACTTGCCCATAGTTATTCTTTGAATCAGAGGGCAAAATTTGGGGATAAAAGCGAGTTAAAACTTTTATAAAACGGTACAACGTAACCTTCGTTAATGTGTTATCCCTAATTGCATAATTATTTCACTAAGTTATATATTGTAGTTATATTTACGAACCCAGTCTTATTACCCAACTACATGATCAAATTATTTTAGTAATTATCACTACGGAATTTATAAAAAATACTTAAAATAAATAAAATGCGATTTCATATTAAATTTACAATTATGTCATAAATATTATGAAATTAGCTACTCTTTAGTAAAAGTCGGCATGAAGTTGGACCTGTAAAATAATTTTGTACAAGTTAGTTATGCTACCCGGCTCTTAAATCTCTTGTTCAACCACCGGACATAGTTTCAGATATTGTTAACGTCTTATTTTGAGCCGATTTTTAAAAATGGCTAACTCAGTATTTTATCCAGAAAAATATTACGCAAGCCTGAAGATTTGGCTCACAGATAGTACAAATGTCTAGACATCTATTAGCGAAATTTGGAGGCTTAGGCAATTTTTTTCCGGCTTAAATAGAGAGTTAGCCGTTTTTCAAAAGCGGCTCAGAATTATAACACAACTAACTGATAAATAGAGGGATAATATTTTTGTGATCCGAATTTTTCGAAATATATTTTGCAACGCTCGATTTTTGATTTTTTTATCCGTCAGAATGTTCTGGTGTAGCCTTAACCTACAAAGTATTCTCGATCTCTAAATAACTAAAAATATATATAAATTAATAGTGGAAACTTATTTTTAATTTTTTTTAGGCACTTAGCACTTCGACTACTACCAGTAAAAGTCATCACCCCATCACGGAAGCATCCTTGATTCGTCGATCTTGCGATATTTTGGGCCGCTTTCTGCAACATAGGGAAACCAATCTCCGTTTTCTCGCGCTTTCCGCTCTCGGATCGCTCGTCACGGTCTCGTCGGGGTAATAATAAGAAAAAAAAGGAAGGAAAGAAAGAAAGAAATGAGAATATGGAAAAGAATGAATGGAAATTATCTAATAATCAACTATTTTATAAATTTAATTACATGCTTTTATCTTTAGGAATGAAGTAAAAAAATAAAAAGTCGATCTTATTTTTCCAATACAAATTTTTAATCTTATTTTTATTTATTTTTGTTTGTTTGTTAAGTTCTTGCGGATCACGCGCGGATCCTATAAGCGCAGCCGTAACCCGTAATCGCGATCACATAGTTGGAGCTCTGAGAGGGGAGCGGGACCCGAGTGTAAGGCGAGGGGCCGCCGACCTTCTATACGCCTCTTGCGGACCCAATCCCGCAGACTGCGAGTTCGTTTGCTCCACTTTGGCCGATTATTTGACAGGTGTGTTTGTCATGGTCACTTAATTTTACATACAGTTTATATAAAATTTAGTTTAGGAATCGTGGACAATTTTTTTTGGGTTAACTTCCTTGTTATTATTTTTTTTGTCATTTACATGTATTCTTCGTAAATAAAAATTCCTTATTTATATGCTATTTTCCCCTCCCCTTACATTCCCATTTTCATTTCATTATTTTTTTGTAATTCTTTCAAAATAAATGGGGAAGAGGAGGTATATGAGAAAGTTACACCTTGGATCTTAAAGGAGAAAAAAAAACTTAGAAATAAAAGAAAATCGAATTTTTCGTAACTTGATTTAGTGGTAACTGGTATTGAGGTTTGAAACCCGAATTCGCTGTTTTTGTTTTAAATTTTATTATTTTTTTGAATGGAGGTTCTGGTTTCGGTGTTTTTTCTTAATTGAAAAATAAGACGTACTAGTTCCAAGCGTGGGATATTATTTTTTTAAAAAAAACATTAGATAAACCACCTAAAATGAATCATACAAGAATACCATTGTTATAACCGGTTTCGGCTCGTTTTATCCCTGAAATCTATGAATGGGTACAGGTTCCAATTTCAAAATTTTTTTTAAAGAAGGGTCATGCATGTCCCACTTCTGATACTGGTTTCAAACTTTGATGACCACACCCATGCCTAGTTTCGCAATATCGGCTCAATCTCGAGGCACTGACCCACACCTCAAAACAAATTAGCTGAGTCGTTGAGCTACGATCTAGCTTTTTCCCCGCTTGCTCCTCTAGGTTGGGCCGTTTTATATTTTAAATATGGAAGACCGTGGCTTATAGTTTCCCCGCTGAAAACATAATTCGATAATTTTAAATAATATAATTATTTAAGGTGAGGGTTGTGTAGCCCCTGCCGATTATGGCGCCCGAGAGGAGACCGTTCTCAAAATGGCGGCTTTGGCGGAGCGGTACGCCAAGGATAGGACCTGGTACCTCGACACTATCTTGAATCTTATTAGAATGGCGGGCGATCACGTCAGCGAAGAGGTCTGGTACCGGGCAGTTCAAATTGTAGTTAACCACGAAGACCTTCAAGTTTTAGATTCTTTAAAAATCGTTTTATTCATTATTTTTCTCTTTCATTAATCTTATATATATTGGATTTGGAGGTGATGAGGTTTAAACGACCAGAGAAACGAATTTAAATTAATGCTTAAAATTAGGATCTTATATTAATTTATTTTCACCTCTCATCTCCATTTTATTTCCCGTGTACCAGGGTTACGCGGCAAAGGCGGTTTTCGAAGCCCTGGTGAGACCTCCGGTGACGGCAAAATCGCAAAATCCCAATGATCATAATGTGGTGGACTACTTTTATTGCCATGAAAATTTGATCAAAGTCGGAGGGTAAAAAGAAATCAATATATTTTTTAAAAAAATTTCCACAAATCCTTCTAATTCTTCTATCTATCCTTCGTTATAAAACGTAACTAAAGAAATTTTTTTTTAAATATAATTTAATAAGAATTTTGGCAGCATCTGTCCTATCTTTTCTGAATAAAATCTCTATTCAAATTTAAAATTATTACAATGAACTGCTCTTTTAATTTTATTAGTGTTATACAACTTAATTTAGCTACTTTTAAGTTAAAATTGTTTTTTTTTCACTATATATATCAGACTTTTTTAAATAACGATAAAGCTACATACTAGGCGAATTCGGTAACCTGATAGCCGGGGATCCTAGGTCGGGACCAGCCTTGCAATTCGCGGCTCTGCACTCCAAATTCCATCTGTGTTCAAACCAGACCAAAGCTCTACTTTTATCTACTTACGTTAAATTCGTTAACCTCTTCCCCGAAATCAAGGAAGAGATTTTGCAGGTTTTGTCTGTCTTCCATTTTTTTTCCGATTAATCTGTTGACCCAGCCAGCCAATTGTAAGACATTTTAATAACTGGATGCTTCCAAATTAGGGGTTTTTTCAACTTTTGATATTTTTAAAGTTTTAAGATTTCTAAAATGGGGGTGTTTGAATTTTATAAAACAGTCAGTATATAACATTACTACGCCATGTCGGTATGCCACCACCCTTTATTTATTTTTTTTACTCACATTAATTTTCATATAGAAAGGTCAGTACTAATTTTTAATTAAAATCTTAATTAATGCAATTATATATGATTTATTTAATGTAGAAATACATTTAGAATTTAATTTTTGAGTTTTAAACAAATGTCGCCTTGATTTGTCGATATTTGCTCATTACGCTATGATAACCAAAATGTTCGTCCATATTTATCTACCCGATATTTTTTAAAATTAACTATCGTCTGCTTTTATTAAAAAACAATTATTGTATAATTTAATTTTTATTTATAAACATTTTAAATTTTGTTTTCTTTTAATGGATTATATATTCCTGAGATCATTATCAACTCAAATACGAGAGGAAATTATGGGAGAAGTTTACCAAAATTAATTCGCCAGCCATAAGTCAATCTACCATTAGAGACATAAATATAAAAATATAGGTTTTTTGAACTTCTTCAGAATAAAGGCATCTAAAAATAAAACTAATTTAGAAGATTTTGTAAAAAATGGTTGTTAAATTCGGTATTTCTAACCTTCAAAAAGATGATTTTAGAGGCTTTCTACGGAGGCAAGTTTTCCATGTTAATTTATATACGAAAATTATATTCGATTGGATATTCATTTTAAAAGGAGAAAAAATTTGTTGTTTATATGTGTTATTTCATATAGCCTAGGAAGAAAATATTTTTTAGCATCTATTTATTTAGCACGTTGGTCTAAGACCCAACCTATGGTAAACGCACGTGCGCCAGTTTTTTTTCGCGAGGAGATAAAATCTTGTTCCCCAAATAAGAATAATAAAGGGGAAGGCACTAAAAATCACTTTTTAGTTGTTCAATCATATATAATATATAAATTTAACATGTAAAATAAACAAGGGAGCAATGATCAAAATTTTATATTGATTTTGAGACAGTACCAATACGATTTAAGCACTAACCTTCCATCATGATTGCTAAGAACCGTTAAGTTTCCATATAGGTTCGCGTGAGTGCAAAAGGTTTAGGATGTGTTCTCTTTAAATAATATAATTATTATTGTTAAATATCAAGATATCATCAACTCGTTTATTGTAACATGAAGCAAATCACATTAAGATGAATTTCATTGTCATACTTCTAAACCTGTTAAAACCTTAAAATCATAAGATCATCTCAAACCTATTGTAAATATTTGAGGTTTACTCAAAGAAATCTTTGAAGAATGAATTAGAATTTATATAGAAACCGATATCTCAGAATGTGTGCAAAAATCTCATTAATTCAATTTCACACAGAATAAACACAGTTATAAAGGTGTTGTTAGGTGTAACACAATTTTTATACGAAAATAATAAATTTTTCGTTAACAGGGGGGTATATGAAAATTTTTAAAGTGTATTTAATAAGTGTGGTCGAATATCAATTACTTGAGGTAGTATATTAAATGGCTTCCTTATAAATTTAATATTTTCAATATTAAAAAAACCGAGTTTACTTGTATTATATTATATATATCATTTTCTAAAAACATTATTTTTCCTTAAGGTGCTAAATTCCGATTCCAATATCCGTTCTTCAGATCCAGAGATCCAGCAAAGGGCCGTGGAATACGTGCAACTCTGCAATGTGGTATCCCCAGATGTTTTAGCAGTGGTTCTCGAGGAGATGCCACCTTTCCCAGAAAATTCCAGTTCGGCCTCGCTTCTCACTAGACTAATAAAGGACAAGAAAAATACCAGTTCATAATTTCTTATTTTTTCCATGACTAACTTTCTACCCCCCCCCTCCACATCATGGGCACAGATTAACTTTAACACCTTTACCGGTTTTAGTAATATGCCATAGTATAATAGTCGACCAAATTGAGAGTTTACGTTTTGGCATAAATGTTTAGTAAAAAAAACGTAACCGTTATTTATTTTACATTTTTATATAATATTACAAAGCGAAGAATAAAAGAAGTAATGATAAAGCAAACCTATTTGCGTTTTTTTAAATGGTTGCTAACGCCAAACGGTAATTTAACCAATTTGCTCGAGGTCATTTGAAATGCTTTATTTGCGCTTGCAACGCAGCGTTTGAAACACTCAATTCTTGCTCACTATAAGAATATCTGCGTAGTTTGCACAGTTAATATCGAGTTTTAGGTTTTGATGATAAGTATTTAAAAAATGCATTTTTGAGCTTTTTTTTTTAAAAAAAAATAAGACTATTTGATAACTTTTTTAACTTATAACCCCCCAAAAAAGAGTTTGCTTAATTTCAAAATGTAATTAACTAAAAAATGTAGGACATCATCATTTTATTTCTCACAAAACACACATTGGAGTGTGTCACCAATCTATTTATATCGGACCTGCAGGCCCGGCATATATTTCAAAAATATCCGAGCCGGGCCTAAAAATATAAAACCCAACCCAGGCCGGGTCAAAAAAAAATTTTTTTAAAACCTGGCCGATTTTTTTTTCTTTTACGGGTTTGGCCGGACTGCGCAAAAGATGCCTTTGCAGATCTCTGATTAAATTCATATTTTTTCTATAATTGAAAAATTATGTGCTATATCTATATTTACTATATTTCATTCATTTATAATTTAAAAATTAGAAATATCTCAAACTATATTTTCCATTAAAAATTTGTTTAGTTCATTTATTTTAAATTTATAATATACAGGTTTTACATCTCAATAATTAAGCAAAGTAAAATATTATTAATAGAAACAAATTTGTGTATATACGTTAAGCTATTAGACACAAATATTACATTCCTGATCTAATTGATTACAAAATATATAAATTTATAGCTATATATTGTATTATGTATTTATTTAAAAAGGTCGAATAATCAATAGAATATGAATCACCTTGATATGATATGCTACCTCATTTATTATAATAATAATTACCTTTTATTTGTAAAGATTTAATATATTTTTTTATCAAATTGTCATCAACTATTGGCTGGGTTCTTCATTCTAATATCACGTGTATAAAAATTGACATTTAAGTGTTCCCACATGCCCCGTTCCCTCACTTTGAGCGAAATGATTAGAATATTATCATGTGCTATCATGATATATTTTATTGTTATCTGATAGAAAAGGGATTTAAAAATTTTTTTCACATATTCTTATCATAATTATCGATATTGTGTTTGAGCTTCATTTTTTTAAATGAAATAAAGTGTTCTGATATGCCCCCTGTTTTTTTGCCCCGGTATCCCCTAATAAAAAAATTAAAAACAACCTTTTTTTACCTGTATATTTTTTTTAAAACTAGACAATAAAAAGACGTCTACAACGGAAGATATGGCCACTCCCAAAAAGCATACCCGCCATCCTCCACAAGAGCACGCCAACGACAACCTGGACCTAATCTCAGTGACGTCGCCATCTCCATCCGTAGCTCGTAGCGTTCCTGGGTTAGTTGAAATGGAGGCGGAAGGAGACGTGTTTGCTCGATTGTTCGCGCCCACGCAACACAAAACCAAAAATGACCCCATCATTTCCGCGTTTAAGGACGCGGGAGAGAATCATCACGAATCTACGAATAATAACATCACTAAGGACATTTACGGTGGCTATTCCATGGATAATAGGTGAGAAGAAAAAAAAATAAACCAATTTTAAGTACATTTTTTTAATCATTGGAATTGAAAAATCATCATACAATGAATGTTTAAATGGCTCGATTTGAGCCGGTTTTTAGAAATGGGTAACTCGATTATTGAGTTCACCGTTTTTAAAAATAGGCTCGAATCGAGCCGTTTAACAACACTACTCACTCACTCTCACTAAATTAACGATTGCCGATTTTCTCATTTTTTTAATAACTTTTTGTCATTCGAACATTTAAGATGACAATATTGATAAAATGAAACCAATTAATTTTTTAAAATATTATTTGCGGATAAAATTTTTAAGTTAATCTAATGCAACAGTATTTGCAATAATTTTAATTATCTAAATCTTGGAATGAAATAAAAGCTTGGAGGGTTTATTTATCAAATTTGTCTTGAATTATTCGCACTAAAAGTTTGTAAGATTTTGGTGCGTTGTCAGCTTTCTGGCATATCTAATCATCGTTTAGCCTCTATTTAACCGTTGTTAGTTATGAGCTGATTTGATTGATATAAGTTTACTATTATCGATGAGTCAACTAGATCATGACGAGTATACTTTATTTATTATATATACGACAAAATAAAATCATAATTTCCCCAGAAACGCCACTAATGACCTACCTTTCCTAGCATTTGTGATTACAACTGAATATGCGTGATTGAAAATATCTTGATGTATTTCACTATACCTCGATCACTTCTCACTCCCTGGTTGGTTCCAAGCGCGTAACCAATGGGGAATGCATATTTGCCTGTTCTCGCAAATATCATTTTAAGTTAATAAAAATTCCCTCCTACACACCCTCACCCCCCTTCCCCCTAAAAATTTAGGCAATATATCATTATAAGGAAGAATTTGAAAGAAAAATTAATAAAAGTCAATAACCTTTTAAAATACGACTATAATTCAAAAGAAAGAAAGCAATTAAAAAATATGTGAGAACCATTTTGAATTATTTTTATAAAAATATAATATAGCTAAAGGTCTACAATAAGTGGACCTTTATATTTCCAATAAAATTTATAGGGAAAAAGTTTACCTAATAGTGCCCCCCCCCCATTTAGCAAAATCCTGGATACACCAGTGCCTCTTACAAATTTTACCAAAGAATCCTGCTCTTACTATTCAAATTATACATTTATGCTGCAACACATGAACAATGGACACACCTTAAGGCAAGTTTCCTTCATTGTTTCATCTAATTAGTGAAACATAAGATGATTACACTAGTAAATTCGCTAAATAATTTATTTTTGCAACTTTTAATTCACTTTAATATCTCTATGACGCTCGCCTAGATACGAGCCCTTCCATCCTTACCCCCAAACCAGGAAAATTTCTCATTTTTATCCCTGACTCTTTCACTCCACAGCTTCACAATGCATCTTCTTGTCACCTCGACTTTTTCAAGTTTCAGTCGTTGCATCCTCTCCCCCACGCTTTTAATACCGAACTGGCTTCACAGCTTAGCGGGTCTTTAACCGCATTCATTACAGTCACATTTTCTCTTGTCGTTGTTTGACTGTATTTCTCGCCTGTCTTTTTTGGTCGCAGACCTACCAGAATAACAAATAATAAAATGTTTTAAAGTTTTTATTTGACTATTCTATTTGAATCATTTTAATTGGGCTAATAAGATTAATTTTTTAAGAACTTTTTAAGTCATGGCTATTGCCAATTCGACTTAATCTACGGGCGCTGCATACCGAGAATAATCCGCCAAGAACTGAAACGCAATAAAATATTTTTACCTCTTCAAGTTTTAGGCTAAAAAAATCTGTTTTTTTTCCTGCTTAAAATGGAGAAATATTACCCAACTATACCCCTAATCTCCTAAAGTGATGAAAAACATATAAACAAAAATTAGTAGTTATGACAAATCTTGATGACATGTCTGACTTATTAATAAGTGTTCTATTAAAATTAGGCGCTTGCAGATCAGCTCACGAAAATTGCGATTTGCAGCATGTCTTACTTTTACAAATATTATGATAGTATAAATAAAACACGATATTTAGGGAACATCCAACGATTAGTCACACCCCATTGAGAGAAATCCTCGGCCGATTCGCTCTTAAGAACGCGGGTCTTCTTTATGAAGATTCGCGCTTGCAAATTGGCGCTAAAATTGGCCAATCAGCTGGTGGTGGCAAATCGAGCAACCAATCGGTGACCGTCTTTTACGGGAACAAAAGTGCGCGCTACGTTTTGGAAAATTTTAGCGTTCGGGCTTTTTTTGATTCCACCGGAAAAGATGAAAGGAAACCTGAAGACTTGCATAATACGGGAAGTTTGACCAACGGTGGCTTGAGTTCGTTTTCAAAACCAGCTGTAGCCTCTATCGATGATTATATCCTTTTTGAAATATTTTTAAAACTTTTTTTAAAGAAGAGGGGGAAAAAATCTGTGAGATTTTATTCGAACTTTTTATCAATCATTTTCCTTCTTTCTTTTTTTGCAGATTAATATCCTTTTAAGTCCAGAGGTTCGGGTTCGGTCTAGATCCCTTATACAAAGAACTCTATAAAAAAATATATTAAAATGCCTAAAATTAAAAGAATGGAATAATTAAATAAAGATCTAACAATTGTGTTCCCAATAAGGAACCATAATGTTACCCAAAAATTTCGATTTAATTTTTTTTGTTTAATATATAAAAATTCTTTGATCTTCGTTGGAATTCACCTAGTATGTATTTTTTAAAAACGAAACAATTGTATTGAAAAAAATGCATAAATAACTTTAATATTCATTTTTGATTCTAATTTGGGTTTTAGTAAATTTTTATGACTTTAATAATAAACTATATTCATAATTCCTGTCTAAAAGTCGCACTCGGTTTTCTCCAAAATAATAAGCTTCCTTAGACTAAACAAGCTTTCTACAGTAGCGCTTAATGTTAATTAGACATTATTATATAAAGGTATTTTTAAAATGAAATTTAACATATTTTACTAAATCTGAAAAGTAACTAGTTACTCGATACATTCCAAAGAGTATTTCAGAATTTAAAACCGGATCCAGAATCCCTTCCATTATTAACCTGGTTTGTAAAACCGTAACAAACCTCTTTTTTTAAGTGTAGAAACGCCATTTTGGGGGTAGTCAAGAGATATGCAAAAAGTTCTTCTTAAATTAATATCCTTAACTCCTCTATCCTTTTTGTCTTGTCATGTGATTCACGTATCAGCTTAGTATCTTCAGCCTTAAACATCGACAAATTAGGGATAGGTGTACAAGCCCAACAAAATTTTTCAGTTATCAACCGAGTCTCACCCTCAGCCGACCCAACCTCGGAGTATTTCTATCGAACACCTCGCTTACGGGTTGAGTTCTCTATCCAAACCCAAAACCCCTCCTCATCCGACCCCTTTACGAGTTCGACACTTTTCAATTCCGACAGCAATGCGTCAAACAAAAGCAACATTTTCAGCGATAATTTTAACGATTTCACCGGCGGGGGCCTTAACAAGCAGCAAGGAACCAAACAATGGTTTATGATAGATACCTACTTACCGATCTGCATCAACAAATTTTGTGATGCCCAGTCGCCTCAAACTATGATGGATCAAAGCGGATTTTTTCAAAGGTTATTTTTTGTTCTTTCTTCCCCCTTCCCGTTTAAAAAGCGTAAAAATATTTGCGTTTATCGTGAATACGTTTAGACAATTGCATTTTCGTTACGAATAAAAGCTATTATATAGGTTTGTGATGTATAATTCGGATAGGAATATAGAAAATTATATGCGCATTTGTACTTTTATATATTAATACATTACAAGGTACATAATAAAAAAAACTCCTAAGAAGTCGTCCGAGCTTGCTTCTTTCACGTCGCGTTTAATCCTATTTTGATACTTTGAAAAATTATAACAAAAGAAAATAAGGAATAGATTAATATTTCATAGTTCCAAGAAATGTTAGAAGAATATAATTTTCATCTTAGTCTGCGACATAAAATCTTATTAATCTTTGTCAAAATAGGTCTCTTTAATAATTAATAATTTGTGTGAAATAAACGAATTCGGGCGTTGCTCTAACGCTATTTGTGTATATAGTATAATTTAGCTGTAAATTATAAATGATTGTTGTTTTTTTAGATGGAAAACTTTGGTAAACCCCGGCCAAGAGTATCAAAAAGTTTTCAAAGCTTCCTTCCCTATCGATGCGCAAGCCAACCGTGACAAAGTTGGAACCTATAAAACAATTAATTTTACATTTTTTTAAATTTGACATCGTTTTTAGAAAAAAAAATGATTATTATTTAATTCCCTTCCCCCTCATATTTCTTTCTTTTTATTTATCCCAAGATCACCAATTTTGGATTGACAGTTTTAATTGGCATAGACAGTAATGAGGATAACATAGTAGCGACAGGCATTATCAACACCGAATCTCAACCAATAGGATGTTTGTTGAGATTAGAACCGAACAGGAAATCATCGGTAAAACTTAATATTTTCATTTTTTTAAAAAATTTTCCTCTTACTTTAGGCTCTGTCCAAAATATCAAAAAAATTAAATTATCAAATTTTAGAGACTTTAGTTAAAAATAAATAATTCCAAAACATAATTCTAGAAAATTTTATAAATTTCTTAAAATTTAACATTTTAAAATTTGCGAAAGTTTTGAAATTTTTTAAAAACGATTTTGGACGCCTTATAAATGGTTATAATTTGCTTTGAAATATATTTATAAGACAAATTTTTAATGAAACAAATATATATAGGTTTAGAAAAGAATGCTTATTCAACTTCATTTTAAGTAAACTACTTTACAATTTTGAACGCGGTAATAAACACGCGGAGTTGATGAGAGAACTTATTAATTTTTTCTCTGAGACCTGCAGGACCGGAACTCGACGCGAAACAGGCCGAAAAATGATAAGATTTTAAAAATTCGGGCCAGGCCAGTTGTTTAATCTAAAAAAAAAACTATATCAATTTGTTATTGGGAAATGTTGTAAAATCTTGTAAAACAGAGCCTTCTTTAATCATTTAACGTTTATGGGTTCAATCAATCTTTCGAAATAATTTGCAATATACATCAAGATTATTCAAAATAAAGAATTTTAAAAAGTCCTTGCCAGAAGACCCTAAAATGATCAAAAATAAAAAATACATTTTACAACCTGTGCCGGTTTGGGGTTTAAAAATGAAAAGAAATTTATCCGACTCTGATCTAATTTTGATCCTCTGCAGGTCTCTAATTTTTCCATTTAGGTTTGCATTAAAAGATCCTTAACCCCATCATTATGTATGGTAAAAACATCTGTGCAGGGTAACAACAAATTTTCTATATCCTTTCACGATTCGTAGAATATATAATTAATATTTTATTATCACTTTTAAAATATTTGAATAAAGATGTACAGGTTGACTATTCGATCCACCAGGCCCGCAGTAAGCAAAGAGCTCGGATTTTTATTGACAGAAACCAATTTATTTTAAAAAATAAAAGGGGATAACCTTCCGAAGAATTAGGATCAAAAAAAAAAATTATTCATGCTCACACATCTTATAAAAGAATTATATTATTTTTTAAATTATATTCCCGTTTCTTTCTTTTCAATTGTTTTAATATATCTTAACCCTGCATTTATAGTTGGCATGAATTCGCGAGGAAATATACAAAATATGCTGTATTTTTGTATTTTGCTCTAACTGTAAATGCAGGGTAGCGAATGAATCCGCCATATTTTATATATATACATATATATATTATATATTATAATATATAATTTTTTTAGCCAAATTTTTTGTTAGAAATGAAAATTTCACCCATATTTTATCATGACCAGGAGCCAATCTTACCGTAAATTCGCTACCAGATTATATATTATTGTATCATAAAAGCTATAATGTTAACCAATTAATACATCATTTCGATTCTCTTAACACTCTTTATTATTATGTGAAGTTATTCTCGATAACAGTTACATCCTATGTTAAAATTATTATAACTTAATTCTTTATATTTAAAATTTTTTTTTACCATTTCTACATTTTTTATGTGTTAATTTCCCTTTTCACTTTTTTTCTCTAAAAACTTCGATTACTTGTAATTTATTTTAGAAAAAAAATCATGTTATTTTTTTGTCTAGTGTGGATCATTTTAGAAATAATATATATAGATGGGAAAAAAACAAATGGCTGTTTCTTGTAGATTCATTGCATAACATTTTAAGGTGGCATACGATTTTTGGTTACGTTTTACAGTTGAGTTAAGAAGACAATGGTTTCAAAAATTCTTACCCCTTTTTTAAAATTTACTGAAGCAGTTACTTTAGTAGGCGGTTCGTTTATCCATAGAAAAGGGAAGTATTGCTGTAAAAATGAGAGAATTTTGATAAATTTATATAAATTTTTTTTATTATTACAAAAAAACGCAAAATTAAATTGTATTCAATACTTCCGATATTAGAGGACTGTCTGACATGTATCATCTAGGTAAATGCCTAAAATTTATGCACCCTATTTCCATGTGATCCAAACTAAGATTTGGTAAGCCCCTACTCATCAATAGATTTGCAATTTATGTTTAGAAGAGATTAAAATAAGTTCCCATGCGGTTATTTTTAGATAATTCGTGATGCAAAGCGAAAGAATGTTATTCTTATAAAGTAATGGCATAAAAGATCATGAATATTGAAAATTAAATCTTAGATTGTTTTTTTTATAAATCAATAGAATTATTAATTTTTTTGGAGGTATTTAATGATCTTCAGAGTTTTTTCTTTTAGACTTCAGGTGGTTAAATGGCATGATTAAACCCGATTCAGATAATTAGATCAAATTTTTATATTTTAACTAAGCTTTATTCTTTATGGTGGGTGATACTGCATCGTCTAAACATAACGAAAATTGGAACTTTTGTAATCTTTAAATAATGCTTAAATTTTTTAATATTGTTTATGAATATTTTTATAGGAATCAGATTAAGTTTTAACACTACGAAAATAATTTTCCTTAGAAATTTACCTTTTCTAGTTTTTAGATTAGCCGATGGGTCAAATGTAAATTTTTCTTCATTCAAGGAATTGATTCTACACCTAGTATTAACTAAAAAATATTTAGAAAATTGAGGAAAACTCTTTAGCAAAAGGGCTCATTTTTTTAATAAAACAATTTTATCTGAAATAATATTTTATAAATTTAAATTATTTATGACACATTACCTAGTAGATTTATTTAGATTTAAAAAAAATAGTCAGACTAATAAAAAAAAATAACCTATTTGTAATATTTTTCATTGATATTAATCAAATTCTTTAATATTCCTTAAAGGTAGTAGTACATTGATATTGAAATATTTAATTGATGCGCAATATGTTAATTTATAATTAGAGGTCGGAGCAGGCCAGCTCGAATCGGTGAAAATTTTCTATCGGGCCTTTTGGCCCGACTCGATTATTTTTACATGATCAGTAATGATTTTTTCTGAAGGGAAAACGACATAAATGTGTCCTAATTATTATTTTTAAAAACATTTTCAGGTCCGGACTCCCGTAAAAATATTTAGCGCAATTTGCCAAATGGCTCGAAAATATGCCTTGCCCAATTTTGGGGTTCGGGCCGAGGACAGCTGTACCGTTCTCTATAAACTAACGACGCACTGTGTATAAAATAATTATTTTCATATATGAAAAATTTGAATTAATTGCGTTGATGTTGATTTTTTTTTCATACTCAACTTGTGTGACCAGATGACCAAGCTTTTGTGGTTCGGACAGACCTCTTATAATAATATCTTGTTTCATCTTTGGTTTCTGTTGTTGCTAGGGATCAAGATAATGCGTGCGTGTTATAAGGGCATTACAATTTAAAATATACGCATATACATTTACCAATATAATGTAAAATGAATAATGACGTTTGATTACATTATGAAAAAAACGCATCAATTTATCAAGAAAATAAAAATGCTCAAATAATTATTTGTACGTAAATTGAAATAGAAAATATGTTATAATATTAACATTTTTAAAAAAAATATGTTTATTACCCTGGATTTTGTGGGAAAAAAAATTTGATAACAAAATTAGATATATTATTATGTTAAAAAAATATATTCATATGCTTACAAATACCCCAAAAAATATATAATAATCAAATCTAATAATTATGATATTCAATGCCACTAACTAAAGTCTCATCGTTCGGATGCACAAAAGAAACCGTCTTCAGAATTTGTCTAACCGTATCATCTCTCCTAATATTATTGGTAGACAATTTTCAAATCGATTGGAGCTCTTGTAACAAATTATCGGCCTATTGCGATTTCGTGCACCCGAACAGCATTAAACTTTCTTCGAATTCTTCGGGAAAATCGGAAAAAACCTTGCCTTTCACTACCTTCGATTTTCGTTTTTCCACCATCGATGAAAATTTCTTGTTTAATAATCTCATCAGGTAAATTAATATATATTTAACCATTTTTTTCTCCTCCTTTTCTTTTTAAAAACTCTAATGATTTAAAATCATTAACTTGTTTTTAATATCTTAACCTAAGATACTGCCCAGTCGTATACGGCGCCCACGAATATTATCAGAACAGAGTAAAAAAGTTACCCAAGCAAGAACTCTTTAAAGATTACGGTATCAAGATGACGGTCTACAAGAATTTCGATTTCAAATACTACATAAACACTTCCAAACCATTGGTGAATCAGGTTTTAGAGAACTTACGTTATCAATACTTGGATAAAACAATTCCACTTGATTTTTTCACCACCTTGACTGAGATAGATACATTCCTAGTCGGATTCATCCATAAGTACAACGAGCAGCAGGGGACTCCGCAACCGATGTTTTATTTTAACGGGTTCGTGTTCACGAACAAGGATGTAATCATCGTTCAAAACGCGTCTTATTTGATCGAAATGGCTCTAAGGGAACAAAATTATATGATTAAACCTATCGTTAAAAATCCCGCGCCATCTAAAACTACGATGAAGGTCGAAGCTTTGAATAATGAAAGGGACCACATCTCTCAGAAAAGCGAAAAGAGTACGAATATCGCAGACTTTCGATATTTGAATAAAAATTTGGTGCTTTATAAGAATCTATTTTTAGAGTTAAATTTGTGCCAAAGAGGAAGGGCTATCAAAAATCATTACGTCTTACCAATTCTAAGTAATATATATATATTATATTCAAATATCAAAAGCCTATCCGGGCCTTAAAATGAAAAAAAGAGTTGTTAAAGGTGTCAGTCACATATTTTTCTGCCACGTTGTTTGACAGTATTTAGCAATTTATTGAACAACGATCAAATTTTATTTAATCTTTTAAACTATTCACTAACCTCGTCTCTAGTATTTGTTTCAGATAAGAAAGTGTCAAATATATTTATTTCTTAAGTAGAATACTTTTTGCAACTTATACCGGGCCGAATGCTTAATACAAAACTCGAGACCGGGCGATTTATTAAATGATATTAATTCATGATAATTTTTTAAATTTATAACTAATAATAATATATACTTGCTGATGTTCAAATCTATTCTAAGTGTAATTGAAGAAAGGATTAAACAATTTTCTTTTATAAATTTTTTGTTTATACCTAAAAAGATATATCAAATCTCCCACCCCAGAGGCCTAATATACAGCTCATGCCCCTTAAGCTAGACACTCAAAGGATAGTCTTTCCGCTAAAAATTGTGATTGACGAAAAACTGCTTCACAATTATCACTGGATCGAACACTTGGGACTCAAGCACGATTTCGATCATTCAATTCGAAAGGTGACGGAAGATATTATCATTTTAGTAGCAGCTCTTGATCATTACTATCACATGATCCGTTTTGATCCCATTACGACGAATAACCCTAAGAAGTATATAGTTTCGTTCGAAATCTCGGAAGTGGTTGTATTCGATAACAACGAATTGTATCATCTGACTGATGACTTGGACACCCCGTTCACGAGTGACAAAATCCCCGAAGATCGGGATTACTGCATCAACCATAAAAATTTTGATAGATATGTCGAACTGAAAGAAATATTCTGCGACCCCCTGTCCTACATACAATTCTATATTAACTATAAAAGGCATCATATTTACTTCCCGAATACGAACTCCGAATTCCAAAGAGGCCGAAAAGAGCCTGTCAAAGAGTGGGCCACTCTACTTCTCACATACACAGATTTCTACCCAATTCATAACACCCAGTTCTATAGTTTTGTGGATAATGTTAGAGAAGAGAGGGTAGGTCTGCTTAATTTCAAATCCGTTTTCAAATCAGAGGACACTGAAACTTTAAAACGTTTCAGCAAAGCCTCACGGAACCATGAAAGGATTCAAATGGGGAACATAATGTATTCCATGGTTAAGGTGGTTAGTAGATTGCTTATGGATTCCCCGGACAGCAATGAATATTTTTGCAATTCTAAAAAGCCCGAAAGTAAAACTTCCAGGCCATCGCCCCCAACAAATAAGAGTTCCGATAAGAGAAGCAAAAGAAGTTCGGCATTTAAAGTTAATTACAACGTGCTAAATTATGAAACTCTCGGTGTTTTAGAGTGCGTTAGAAGAGCAGCTCGCAAAAACTTGGAAAAATTTATCAATTCAATCAAATTTTAATTCGTAAAAATATATATCAATCTATCGAGAATATATATAAAGAAAATGGTTTATATGTGTATTTTTTAAAAAAAATGAATGTTTTTTTATATTTTTATTGTAATAGATTTTATGAATTCAAATAATTATGCCTATATTTATATTTTTTTATAAATGAATGATTTTTGACAAATTTTTATTAAATATTAGTTATTGTAAACGGGATCGTTCAAGTTGATCGCGCTGGTGAATAAAATCCGTTTCTTTTTTAAAAAACACAGTGAAACGACGTTATTTTTATTTGGACGAATTTTGAACGTGAACAAAGAAGTTCATTTTTTTTAGGTTTATTTAATATTTTAAATAAAGGGATTTTATTTACTTCCCAATATTTCCTTCAAATTTATTTCAACCAAAGTAACTGTGAGATTCTTCTATTTTAATGATGATATTTTTTATGGCCACTCAAAAACTCTGGCCAGATAAGAAATACTTACTACCAGGCTATTATTATATTATTAAAAAATGCCTTTATTTGTGTACCAAATAATAATTTGCAACAAGTATGTTTTTGGTATAAATAATGTTTTTAAAACATAAGTCAATATGGCGTAAAAAAAATCGCTAATAAAAACCGGGGTGGGGCCAAAAAAATCCGGGCCGGGTTTGAGAATGGATTCTTTTTTTTTACAAAACCGGGTCGAAACTTCAAACCTCAGTAGATCTGATTTTCTAATATATAAATATCAGTATAATTTGAATGCGTAGTTTTTTTTTTCACCATACAAAAAAAATGTGTAACGCGATTGTTTAACTGAATAAATATAGAAAGGTATATCGTCGGTTGGTATTATAATGTTCTATATCCACATTTTTGCAAAACGCTCATTTTTTTTTGATAAATGAGTTCTAGTGTCGTTATATAACATTGCCATATCATATTTGTGTAATAAATAAATCTGAGGACAGAACCTGAGTTAATTAAAAAGAGATTAAATTATTCCATTTATTAAATATAATGTTGCTATCACACCAAGTGTTCACGTAGAAGGTTTGTTGTCTAGCGTAGATTATTTTCTTGACACGAGCGCGTCCTACAGAAATTTTGTAAATAGTTTATTGTTTAAATGCAAATAAAAATTTATAAAGCCCGAATTTTGACTAAAAAAAAATTCAGTGCAGATATATGTATTTTACTTCAACGTACCGGTATTTTTTTTTTCAGTGTAATTATATTTTTATATAATAAATTGTATATTTGATTGAGATTTTTATACCGGAATTATGATTTATAAAGTAACTTGTAGTGTAAGTAATTACCTTTCAAAAGTAACGTTTAACATTAATTCATACCAACACATATATACTATTCAAAATATATCTTAAATATTTATTTTTTAAATCTATTATTAATATAGTTTTTATTCTATAGTCTTAATTGTAGAAATAAAAATGTTAAAATTAAATTAAATGCATAATTCGACTTTTTTGCATAGAAATTATGGATTCTTATTTTTATTACATTTGGTTCAAAGGGGGATGGTAAAAAAAATAAATATAAATTTCGGATCGGTTTTGAACCAATATCGGAAAATATGGAATCTGTGAAAAATTTATGGATCGGCACAGCACTAATAAACAAAAAAATTTTGTAAAATTTAAACAAAAAATTGTTAATTTTAAAAAATTATAAAATATGGTAAATTTAAACCATAAAAACTATTTTATTTTTTGGTTTTGACTAATTAATTTATTTCTTCTTATTGTTTAGCGTTTAATGTGAATTACATAATATATTACGTACAGAATATAAGTTGGGCAAATATCTGCCTGCCCCTAATATTATAAAGTATGTAGTAAATTAAAAAAATATATATATAATTTAATTAATATTATTCAAATTTTATAATTATATCATAAAATAAACTTGAAAAGTTATTTCCACTTCAAGTGTGCATTTTATTTTAATGATTATGATATAAAAAAAATATTATAATAAACATTCCTTAGTACAATTCTGGTTTGGTTTAAATTTTTTTTTCTATGTTATTTTTATAATATATATTATATAAGATTTGTTGCTAAAAAAATATATAAATTCCAATTCACTAAAAGGATAATAGTCAAAATTTTGAATGATAAAAAGGGTAATGATATACAATTGATTAGAAAAATACTTTGTTATCTTTTGGGGTTCTTTCCTAAATCAACAGAATAAGATGAAAAGACAGAAGAAAAAAAACATGTGTTGGGTAATGTATTGTAAAGCCCTTAAATTATGTATGGAGGAAAAAATTTAAAAAAATTTTTTTAAATGACTATTGTCGCATAAATAATTTATAAATTTAAAAGCAATGACAAATAAATTTATGAAAAGATTGTTGTTCATATTACAAAATTGCCAATCAAGCCTTATTAATTTTTATTTTTAAATAATATTTCAAAACAGAATGGTTCAACATTATTTTTAAAAAATTCTTTAATAATACTTAAAAAAAATAAACTACATTTAAATTTAGCTTATTTTCTATTTTTTGATAATTAATTGGTTTTTTTAAAATGAGTCCTAAAATGATCTTTATTCTATTGGTTGTAGTTGATATTCGAAGAAAGATTGTTTTTTAAATTGAATCTATCGCCTAAAAAATGATATTAATTTTGAGAAGCAATAAACAAAAATTAGTGTGTAAGCTGTTAGTCTTTGGAGGCGTTTATTTCTTTCAAATTCTTGCCTCAATTCTGCCAAACATTGATTATTCTCATTATATTTTAATTCAAGTAATTCTAATCTTTGAGCAGGTGAAGGATTCGTGGGAGTTGTTGAGTACATATTGCTTTTGGTTTAATATTAAAAAATATATAAGTAAACAATTTATGAAGATATAGTTGTTAAATTACTCGATTTCACCAATTTTAAATTAAGATTTAACCTCAAAAATGGCCAAGCTTCAAAGTTTTGTTAATAGATGTCCAAACCTTCCTGTCATCTATGACCAAAATCTCCAGGCTTGCATTATATTTTTAGCAAAGATGTGAACCTGGAGCCAAACCCTTGTCCCCACCCTAGTATTTTTGTCAGACCCAAACTTGGATCCTTCTAAAAATTTTAAGGTTCTAGGTAAATAAAAAATATTTAAAAATTCTTGAAAAATATATTTAAATTTTTTTGTAAAATCATTATTTATTCTCTTCCCATTTTTCAAAATTTTCTGGTTTTTTACTTCCATTTAATAGGTAATGTCTTGTTTTATATCAATTTTAGAAATTGAAATATTGTGAATTTTATAGTGTAGGTAATAATATTTTATAATAAATGATAATTTATTAATGTATTATAATAGGAATGTATTGTATTTCTTGTTTTATATCAATTTTAGAAAGTAAAATATTGGGAATTTTGTAGATGACACATAACCCAGAGACCTGCAGGCCCGGCCCTAAGCCCAACCTGGGCAGGGCCGGGCCGTATTTTAAATTTTTTAAATATACCCGGGCCGGGCCTAAAAAAATTTTTTTTAAACATATCTGGGCTGGCCAGGCCTAAAAAATTTTTTTTTAAATATATCCGGGCCAGGCCGGGCCTTAATATTTTTTATAAAAATTTTTACATTATGAGTTAATGGTTATAAGATTATATTATATTATAGTTATGATTAATATAATATTGGGTGATGGTTAACACTACCTAACAACCCACAGATCGATCTAATTATTAATTTCTTGCAAATTTATTCAAAGTATTAATATATTTTTTTATAATTCATATCTATTTACAACATATTTTACCAAAACAATCAAATAAAGGAATATCTTAAATAAGCCCCAATATTCAAGTATTATTAATATATTTTTTTATAATTCATATCTAAATTTTTAGAATATATTTTACCAAAACAATCAAATAAAGGATTATCACTTCTTAAAGTTTGTAATTGATTTTACTTAATATAAAGCATTTTTTAATTGAAAAATTTGTTTTACAAAAGTATCATTTTATTTCTCTTTTTCTCTGTCCCAAATTCAAGCAATTAGGTATGTAGTCAGGGACAGATCGCAAAATGACGGAAAACTATATAAAAGATTATATTAAATTACAAGAGGCTCAGGAAGTAAATGAAATACCATCGACCAGTCAAATTACGACTGTTGTTAAACAAACTGAATCGTTTTATGACAAATGGGGCGATGGTAATTCTGGTAATATGTCAATACCCGATGATGAATATTATAATTACATAAATAAAGAAAAAATAGATGAAACATTTAAAGGTGGATAACTTTGTTGAGCGGAATTTTTCCACTACTGGGAGAATTCTTGAAGAAAGAAGAAGTAATCTTCAACCTGAAAAGATAGATATGCTTCTCTTTCTTCATGATAATTTGTGAATTTTTAATATCTTTCTTGAGTATAGGGTTTCGTCAATCATGCTGGTTTTTTACTTTGCAAACTGTCAAATATTTATTGCATTTATTATATTTACCTTGAGTCATGAAAGTTTTTAATCCAACATTTTTCATTATTTTTTTAAAAATATTATATAATACAATTATCTTCTTTTGTTAAAAATTTATATTATAAAATAAATTATATTAATATTGTGCAATTAGATTATATTTTCAAAATACTATTTATTATACATGCATTTTTTTAAATAGCGATTTATTTTTATTTTATAAATTAAATAGTAAATTAAATACAATATATTATATTCTCAAAATATTTCCCATTTTTATAAATTAAATATTAGTTTTATTTTTTTTAAATGTAATATAAAATATAGTATATGACAAATATTATTACCATTTTTATGAATATTAGTTTTATTTTTATAAATGCAATATAAAATATAGTATATACTCAAAATATCCATTTTTATAAATAACAGTTTTATAATTTTTATAAATTCAATATAATATTCTCAAAATATTAGCTTTTTACATGTATTTTTTAAATAATAGCGATAATACTCGCTGAAAAATATGGTAAAATACCTCATAGGTGAATTTTTGTATATACCTGGTCGAATATAATTTTAAAAAATTCCGACTTAAATTTTTAAATCCAGGCCGGGCCGTAAAAAATTTTTTTAAAAAATATCCTGGTCGGGCCGGGCCTTAAATTTTTAAATCCGGGCCGGGCAGTGCAAATGGTGCCTCTGCAGGTCTCTGACATAACCAAAGGGTAATCCCCTCATCAAAAATTTGCCTATTCTCCTAAATATCATCTTAAGCTAATAAAAAAAAAAATCCTCCTACACATTTCTCTCTCCAAAAAAAAAGAATACAATATATCGTTATAGGGAAGAATTTAAAAGAAAAATTAGTACAAGTTAATAACTTTTTAAAATGTCTATAATTCAAAATTTTTAGAAAAAGGCATTTTAATAAAAAAAAACATAGATTAAAAAAAAAATTATTTCTGTACAAATTTAATATAGCAAAAGGCCTTTAACAAGTGGACATAAATATCTTCAATAAAATTTATGAAGGAAAACCCCACTTAATACCCCTATCCTCTACTACCAAAATCCTGGATATTCATGTTTTATAGTATAGCTTATTTTGAGTCAATATTTCTTTCTACAAACTAGTGTTGTTAGTTAAACTACCAAACTTTAGTCGACTATAAAACAGCTTAGCCATGTTTTTATTTAAAAATATTCGAATCAATCTTCAAGTTTAGACTCAACTTAGAGGCTTAATTTAATTTTTTAGGCTAAAAGCTTGACTAAGCCACAATAGAGATGGTCAAAGTTAGGCAAATTAACAACACTACTACAAACCCTGAACCTGAATCCTTTTTTAAATTTTATTCCTGAACCTGGACCATAATTTTTATTGAATGGTTCACATCCCTAATTTTTTGGCTAAAATATTGGTTATGGGTTAGCCATTTTTTCTTAAATCAAGCCATTTAACAAAATAAACTATGATCATAATTTATATATAAATAAATATACTTTTAAAAAAAATTAAATTTTCATTTTTAGTATACATATATAAGTAGTTAATAGTGTGAATAAATTTTATTTACTTTTGTATTAAGGGTATTGAGTCACCACCATTTGAAAAAATATAATTGGAAGAATTTAGAAAATGTTTCTTTTTTGTAAATATTTTTGGTGAAACATTGATATTTTCATCATTTTCTACAGAAACATTTTTAACAGTATCTAAAAAAAATTATATTCTCATAAATTATCCCAATAAAATCAGCAAATATTGTTTTCTCTTAAAATAGTACAAATTTTACCTGCAATAGATAAATGTTCAGGTATATTCATATCTGATGCTCTTGAATATATAGCATCTTCATCGTTGTCAGTCTGAATATCCTTTGACCCAACCTTTAATGATATTTTTTGGGGAACAACCATATCCTTGCGTACTTTCTCTGCATATTCTAAAGATTCTGACTCCTGATCAAATGCATTTAATTCATTTTTATAAGCATTAATTTTTTGCATATTAAATGATTTTAAGAAATTTGTAACATTGTCATATTTTTTCTCTTTCGACTCAACAAAAGGCCTAACCTTTTAAGAGAGAATGGCAATTTCCCTAAATAGTATTTTACGTCAATAAAGTACCTTCGCCCCAAACACCTAGCTTTCTTTCCAAAAAAAATATGCCATCATGTATGTAAAAGACTATTTTTTTAAAATAAGTAAACTGGTTATTATTAAAATAATCTAATTAAATCTTCACAAAATTAATATAAAAAGCAGCTGTAAAACGAAACAGAAAATTTTAATTGCCCAAAAACACCTGCAATAAACAAGAATAGCTTTCTAATACAAATTTTACTGCTTAAATACTCAATTGTGTAATACTTTTAGTAAATCTAATTTTCATTCGCTATTTTTAAATAAAAATTTTGACTAAATTGTCATAATAATATATGGAAATTTAAATATACATTTAGTAATTATACAATCCGATCAAATATAATTTTATGGAAGAAAATAAAAATGAGTAGATACATAATTTATCAAAAATTAGGAACATAATTGAAGTGTTTTATTAAATAAGTAAAATAAGTAAAGTAAGTAAAAGTATCTTTTATACAAAATATCACGTATATATATATAATGAATTCAATCCTTCAGGTTATGTAATTTACAAACGAAAAGTTAATATTATATTCAATTTAAATTCAATTTACAATTACATTTATATTATAATAATATACTTAATTATAACTGAAATAAAATATATACAATTCTGATTTATTTTATAGGATATGCTCCGCTACATAACGAAAATTTGTTTAAGGCAAATCACCTTCCAAAATTTACTCTGTAGTAAAGAATGATATTGTTGAGTTTGGACCGATGGGTCCCCCAGTCTGAAGGGGAATAATACAGTCCGTGATCGGGGGTCCGGGATGGTCAATGACTGGATACAGGGGGCCAGGTTTTATCGATTTAGTCATGGAATCACTTGGACAACGTAAGTTTTAAAGTTTATTCGAATCAGAGAAATTACAATTAAAAAAAAAATTCTATTACAAAAAAAAATATTAAAATGATTAATGGTGTTTTGTTTTCCACCTTTATAATTTTTAAAACAAAGGGGGAAAGAAAAAGTTGTTATTTAATCGCGATATAATCATTCATGAAACTGGTAAGAACCAGTTTCAATTGCAATATAAAAATAAGGTATAATATATTAATTTCATAACAAAATAAAAGAAGATGGGAAAACAAAAGAAACAAGGAGAAACAAAAATAAAAGAAATAAGGGGGGGGGGGTAGAACATAACAGATATTAACAGAAAATTCTTATAATGAGCCGTGACTTCATAAAAGAATTATAATTAAAACTCATTCAGGCATATAGGCGTACTTAGAGTGTGAGGGCAATGGGAAATTCTCCTCTGTTCTCGTTAATATCATTTTAAGCCAATATAATGTTTTCCCCTATGTACCCACTACCTACTAAAAGATTAATAAAAGTTAATAATTTTTAGAAGTAACGCCTATAATTATAGTAAAAAAATGAAAATTATTTTTATTAAAATCTAACATAGGCAAAGCCCTACAAAAAGATCTCCAATAATATTTATAGAAATAAATCTCACCTAATAGTGCCTCCCCGGGAAAAATCTTCACTACGCTAAGCTCGTGTTCAGACGCCATAATATAAGTTAGGAATATTAAATAAATATCAGTTAATGCTAATAATCCCCTAGATGTTACTAATCCTAATATAAAATTTATTGTTGAACATATATAAATTAAAAATGTATAAATGTTATCTGTGAATGAATGGTAATATTTAATTAACCATTATGATCAAAATAAATTAAAATCCTTTTAATAGTTATTTTTTTTATTGTATATAGAGTATGTATTTTATTTATTTAACCCACCCCTCCTTTTAATGCAAGCCCCAGCCTTCAAATAAATTGGTAGCATATAATTCCTACCCATCACCCTTCTCATATTGTCACTGGATATAGTTTTAAATCAGGCGCGTACGCAGGAATTTAGTCTGGGGGGGGGGGGGGATAATAAAAATTTTTAAGAAATATTATTGTTTTTTAAAAATATCAAGCATAAATTTATTAGGACTAATAACTATTTCTAATACACAATTTTAAATTAATGTGAATTATAAAAAAATTATATGTAAGAATCACTTAAATGACCCAAAATATAGAAATTTGAATTTTTTGAGCCTTTATACAAAAAGTTTCTTAGGAATAATTGCATTTTGTATGTTATATATTTACAATGTAAAATTCAATCTTCGTTGTGATTGAGCTAATTTTTCAATTATCTCATCCTTGCTTGTCGTCGAATGCCTATGAATATTCACATCCAAACCTTTCAATCTACTTTCAGATGTTGTACTTCTTGGTATGTTTTTCAGAGACTTGCAGGCCCGACCCCCAAGCCGTACAGTATTTTAATTTTTTTACATATACCCGGGCCGGGCCCGAAATTTTTTTAAAAAAACACCCAAGCCGGGCTTGAATTATTTTTAAAAAAACACCCAATCCGGGCTGTATTTTTTAAAACAGCTTATATTTAAAATCGTTATTATTAGCTATAAAAATCAAAAATAAGTATAATTTATTTTTAAAAAATCAAGGCCGGGCCTGAAAATTTTATTTTAAAAAAAGCCGAGTCGGGCCTAAAAATTTTTTTAAAAAAAGCTGGGCCGGGCCTGAAAATTTTTAAAAAAAACCCAGGCCGTTTTGTAAAAAATCTTTTAAAAAAATCCGGGCCGTGCTCTGCAAATGGTACTTCTGCAGGCCTCTCTGTTATTCTTCTTAAAAAAGAGAATGTTCTCTCCTTAGTTTACTAATGGGAAGAGTTTATAAACCTTTTTAATACATTGGGAATTTAATCTAAAATATGTTTGAAATAATGCAGAGCATCCATAGCTGGGACTATATATAGTTATTCAGCTAGTAAGGCATCATAAGATAATTCAGCTAGTAAGGCATCATAAGATACTTTAACATCTTCATAATAAAAATCTAACAAATATTTTTTTTTCTATCACCATCTGAAAAAGATTGGGAAGGCTTTTGTGGAAGTAATATTTGCAGATTAGTAAGTGCTGCAGGATGAATTAAAAATTCATTTATTTGGGTTATAAATGTATCTGTATTTAAGATATACTCTTCTACTGATCCTATATTAATGTTTTAACGATGAGCCTGCCTTGTTACAAGTCGAGGGAGACAAATATTAAATAAAATATAAAATATGAAATTCTTCATCAACATTAGCCCTAATTTCCTTGAGTTCTGATAAAATGCTTCCGCTATTCTCATCTTCTTAATCAAGTCAATGTCATGTTTTTGAAAAGTAATACTTAAAATAATTGTATAATTAAATAATACATTCTAATGAGAAATATAAAATTTGGAATAAGCATTGAATCCAATAATTTTCTCCCTTCTGAGGAAATATTTCTTTCAGGCCATTGTGATATTTCAGTAATAGCAAATAATTGGCTCTTCTAACTCCTTAAAAGCTGTTACTGCTTGATGGCAGAGACTCTATCTCGTTGGACAAGATTGCAATTTCTTTTTCCCTGATGGACAAGAAGTTTCATAAATAATTATTATTTGAATATAAATTTGAAAATGGTAGATAAATGTTACGCCACTAAAATTTGAAAATAATAAGTAAATATTACGCCGGAAAACTTAAAATCGAAATTAATTGATAAAATAACTTAGTAGATAAATGTGATAATAAATGTAATTAAATATTTAATATGAGATAGGAATAAATATTAACAAATATAATTAATATAAACAATAATATTTTTGAAAAATATATCCGGCATCTGCATTTTTTGGCTATGGGTGGGGATTTGTCCCCCTGTCCCCCCCCCGCTGCGTACGCGCCTGTTTTAAATGGATTAAACTTAAATATAGTCAATAGAACGAGGCTTCTAGATTGAAAATTATTAATGTCTACTTTCCTCTGAAATATTTTTTTAAAATGAAAATTGTCAAATAACATATTTATATATCACAAATATGTCCTTTGGTTTATTTATTAATAACATGAATAACATAATATATCTCACTGAGCTGTGTAACCGGATTTACTTTCCTTTTTATAGATTATTTAAATTAGCTATAGAAAAAGAATAGAGGTGACATTTGAATATTTCTCACACTAACTACCCACTCAAGAAGGTGAAAACTAGATAACGCCCTTCAATTCAAACAAAATTTGATTTTCTAAAAATCCCGTCTCACTCACTAACTCTGAATCTAAGTTAATTGAACAAGGCTTTTATTTAAAAAAGATGGTTATTTCATTTATAAATCCATTAAGAGAGAAATTAATAGGTAGGGTTCCAAAATTTAGAAAAAATTAATTAAATAGGATTCTTAGACATGTAATCCAGATCAATATATCAAATTTTTATTGTCTCATTAACTCATTCTACTCTTTACACTTTTTATTCTTATATCTTTCCGTCTTTGCCCCTTTCAGCGTCTACATGAGTGAGGGGGGGGGGCAGTTGCAAAAATATTCAAAGTATCTTCATTTACATATTAAATAATATGAAATTACCCAACATTATATATAATATCGTAATAATTCCTCTAATATGAATAAGACATTTTTTTCTAAAAGTGTTTATCTGAATATTACAACAGTAGTAGAGTTAAAATAATTTAAGTTATATCTTTTATAATTTATTAAGGGAGTACTATTATAATTAAAAATGTATAATAATTATGTGGAAATATCTTTGTCGAAAGCGGCGAACATTTTTTATGGAAGTATGTATAGGTTTTTGATGGGGGTTTGCATCCAGTGAAAATCCTTTTATGTAGACTCTGACATCTTTATATGTAATAAATTGTATTCTTTTTAATTTTATACTTTACACATTTTGTTTTAATTTGTCGATGCTCAGTTTTAAATTCTTCTTGAATTTATAATATTACATTATATAAATATGTATTCATTTTTTTAAATATTATTATATTATGTAAAATAGAGTATAATAATATAGACAAAATACTTAAGTATTTTGATACTAATTATATTGTTAATTTGTGTTCATAGCTA